TCACAGGGTTACACCTTCAGCCTTGGCTCTGGTTCAGTTTCGTGGCGTTCTACACGCTCGTCTTCAGTTCTCAGCTCCAGTTGTGAGGCTGAGATCTACGCCACAGCCATGGCTGCACAGGAGTTGCGCTGGCTCACCTACCTGCTGCCGCTACTGAAGCTGTCTTACGGCCAGCCCCCCGCCCTCTGCCTGGACGCGGGGTTCTCCCACCCACCTCTTCCAAGTGAAACTGGGGTACAGCAGGGGGGTCCCTTGGGTCCACTGCTATTCGTTGCTGCCATCCACCCCGCGCAGACATGAACAGAGTTTTCTTTCCCGTCCGTGGTGTGCTTGGCATAAACGGATGATGTTACCCTCCTTGGGGCGTTTGACCACTTCAGAGGTAGCTTCGAAGTGATTGCGCTGCGCCACAACCAAACGAAGTGCGCGGCCTGGTCGCAAGCAGGCCAACGGGCGGTGACCTTACCTAAGGGTGTCCCCTTCACAGATGGCAGTTTGAAAGTACTTGGCAGCTTCATCGGCGGCAACGACGCAACAGCTGAGTTCCTGCGAAGCAGCCTAGAAGCAAAGGCACTGTGACTGATCTCACGGATGGAGACGCAGCTAGCTTCTCTGCTACTTACCCGGTGCATTTTGCGGCGTGTCTCCTACCTCGCCTGAACGACACCGCTGACTCCATTGTCAATCGGGGAGTGGTCTGGTCGGGGCCAGAGGCTGTTCGGAACATTGCTGACGGCGTGCGACATACGCCACCCACGAGGAGAGGCAGAGACCACACGTACCTGGGTCCAGGCTCGCTCCCTATCTCGCTTGGGGGCAGAGACCACACGTACCTGGGTCCAGGCTCGCTCCCTAACTCGCTTGGGGGCAGAGACCACACGTACCTGGGTCCAGGCTCGCTCCCTAACTCGCTTGGGGGCAAAGACCACACGTACCTGGGTCCAGGCTCGCTCCCTAACTCGCTTGGGGGCAGAGACCACACGTACCTGGGTCCAGGCTCGCTCCCTAACTCGCTTGGGGGCAGAGACCACACGTACCTGGGTCCAGGCTCGCTCCCTAACTCGCTTGGGGGCAGAGACCACACGTACCTGGGTCCAGGCTCGCTCCCTAACTCGCTTGGGGGCAGAGACCACACGTACCTGGGTCCAGGCTCGCTCCCTAACTCGCTTGGGGGTAGAGACCACACGTACCTGGGTCCAGGCTCGCTCCCTAACTCGCTTGGGGGCAGAGACCACACGTACCTGGGTCCAGGCTCGCTCCCTAACTCGCTTGGGGGCAGAGACCACACGTACCTGGGTCCAGGCTCGCTCCCTAACTCGCTTGGGGGCAGAGACCACACGTACCTGGGTCCAGGCTCGCTCCCTAACTCGCTTGGGGGCAGAGACCACACGTACCTGGGTCCAGGCTCGCTCCCTAACTCGCTTGGGAGCAGAGACCACACGTACCTGGGTCCAGGCTCGCTCCCTAACTCGCTTGGGGGCAGAGACCACACGTACCTGGGTCCAGGCTCGCTCCCTAACTCGCTTGGGGGCAGAGACCACACGTACCTGGGTCCAGGCTCGCTCCCTAACTCGCTTGGGGGCAGAGACCACACGTACCTGGGTCCAGGCTCGCTCCCTAACTCGCTTGGGGGCAGAGACCACACGTACCTGGGTCCAGGCTCGCTCCCTAACTCGCTTGGGGGCAGAGACCACACGTACCTGGGTCCAGGCTCGCTCCCTAACTCGCTTGGGGGCAGAGACCACACGTACCTGGGTCCAGGCTCGCTCCCTAACTCGCTTGGGGGCAGAGACCACATGTACCTGGGTCCAGGCTCGCTCCCTAACTCGCTTGGGGGCAGAGACCACACGTACCTGGGTCCAGGCTCGCTCCCTAACTCGCTTGGGGGTAGAGACCACACGTACCTGGGTCCAGGCTCGCTCCCTAACTCGCTTGGGGGCAGAGACCACACGTACCTGGGTCCAGGCTCGCTCCCTAACTCGCTTGGGGGCAGAGACCACACGTACCTGGGTCCAGGCTCGCTCCCTAACTCGCTTGGGGGCAGAGACCACACGTACCTGGGTCCAGGCTCGCTCCCTAACTCGCTTGGGGGCAGAGACCACACGTACCTGGGTCCAGGCTCGCTCCCTAACTCGCTTGGGAGCAGAGACCACACGTACCTGGGTCCAGGCTCGCTCCCTAACTCGCTTGGGGGCAGAGACCACACGTACCTGGGTCCAGGCTCGCTCCCTAACTCGCTTGGGGGCAGAGACCACACGTACCTGGGTCCAGGCTCGCTCCCTAACTCGCTTGGGGGCAGAGACCACACGTACCTGGGTCCAGGCTCGCTCCCTAACTCGCTTGGGGGCAGAGACCACACGTACCTGGGTCCAGGCTCGCTCCCTAACTCGCTTGGGGGTAGAGACCACACGTACCTGGGTCCAGGCTCGCTCCCTAACTCGCTTGGGGGCAGAGACCACACGTACCTGGGTCCAGGCTCGCTCCCTAACTCGCTTGGGGGCAGAGACCACACGTACCTGGGTCCAGGCTCGCTCCCTAACTCGCTTGGGGGCAGAGACCACACGTACCTGGGTCCAGGCTCGCTCCCTAACTCGCTTGGGGGCAGAGACCACACGTACCTGGGTCCAGGCTCGCTCCCTAACTCGCTTGGGGGCAGAGACCACACGTACCTGGGTCCAGGCTCGCTCCCTAACTCGCTTGGGGGCAGAGACCACACGTACCTGGGTCCAGGCTCGCTCCCTAACTCGCTTGGGGGCAGAGACCACACGTACCTGGGTCCAGGCTCGCTCCCTAACTCGCTTGGGGGCAGAGACCACACGTACCTGGGTCCAGGCTCGCTCCCTAACTCGCTTGGGGGCAGAGACCACACGTACCTGGGTCCAGGCTCGCTCCCTAACTCGCTTGGGGGAAGAGACCACACGTACCTGGGTCCAGGCTCGCTCCCTAACTCGCTTGGGGGCAGAGACCACATGTACCTGGGTCCAGGCTCGCTCCCTAACTCGCTTGGGGGCAGAGACCACACGTACCTGGGTCCAGGCTCGCTCCCTAACTCGCTTGGGGGCAGAGACCACACGTACCTGGGTCCAGGCTCGCTCCCTAACTCGCTTGGGGGCAGAGACCACACGTACCTGGGTCCAGGCTCGCTCCCTAACTCGCTTGGGGGCAGAGACCACACGTACCTGGGTCCAGGCTCGCTCCCTAACTCGCTTGGGGGCAGAGACCACACGTACCTGGGTCCAGGCTCGCTCCCTAACTCGCTTGGGGGCAGAGACCACACGTACCTGGGTCCAGGCTCGCTCCCTAACTCGCTTGGGGGCAGAGACCACACGTACCTGGGTCCAGGCTCGCTCCCTAACTCGCTTGGGGGCAGAGACCACACGTACCTGGGTCCAGGCTCGCTCCCTAACTCGCTTGGGGGCAGAGACCACACGTACCTGGGTCCAGGCTCGCTCCCTAACTCGCTTGGGGGCAGAGACCACACGTACCTGGGTCCAGGCTCGCTCCCTAACTCGCTTGGGGGCAGAGACCACACGTACCTGGGTCCAGGCTCGCTCCCTAACTCGCTTGGGGGCAGAGACCACACGTACCTGGGTCCAGGCTCGCTCCCTAACTCGCTTGGGGGCAGAGACCACACGTACCTGGGTCCAGGCTCGCTCCCTAACTCGCTTGGGGGCAGAGACCACACGTACCTGGGTCCAGGCTCGCTCCCTAACTCGCTTGGGGGCAGAGACCACACGTACCTGGGTCCAGGCTCGCTCCCTAACTCGCTTGGGGGCAGAGACCACACGTACCTGGGTCCAGGCTCGCTCCCTATCTCGCGTGGGGGCCTGGATCTTGCCAACCCCGCAGTGGAGGGACGTTTTGGATTCCTGGCAAAGGTCACACAAGCGCAGCAGCTGTTGCTACTCACCTCCCTTGACGACTCTACTAATGGGCCGCTAGCGGAGACGAGGGTGCAGATGACACGGCCATACCTCAACAAGGCACCACTGTTCGTAGCGGGGGCAGGCCATCTGGAACAACTTTCGAACACCTCCGCGACACACACTGACGAACACACCAGTGTGCACTCACCTGCACGCACTGACAAACATGGTGCTGCGTAGCGACCTGTCGCAGTCCGTGGCACAACCGCTGACATCATCTTCCCGCCTCATAGCACTAGCGAAGCCCCATGGGGGGGCAAGACCGGTAGCAATAGGTGAAAGCATCATGAGGACGTCAGCAAAAGCGGCGCTCACCTGCATATCAGTATAGCTGGTGGGGGGGAACGATCATTCGCGCTGCCCACGCTTTTACAGATGCCAGCCCGGGCTGCCTTGTCCTCCAGACAGCATTCAGCAGCATCAAATGCCAGGCTTTAGTCTAGGAAGCTACATCGGCACAAGCGGAGGTGCTGCTACTTACCATAGCGAGCAGCTGCAGGCCATGGCGAACCCCTTGCACTGCTTTCTCAAACTGACCCACAACTGGCGTCCCTAATGCTCACCCGTTGCATCTCCAGTCGTGCATCAAACCTCAAACAGTCATCCCCCCTCCTCACAGTGAGGATAGAACCTGCTAACGACTCTACTCACAACGTGTTCTCTACGCAGCCCCTCGTTCTCAGCGCCCCGCTCCTCCGCATCCGCACCTCGCTCTGCCTCCACCTGCTGTTGCAAGTTGTCAAAGGCCGCCTGGATCTGGTTTGTGAAACAATGAGGACAGGTGAAAGCGGAGCAGGTGAGAGGGAGCATGGGAGAGAGGGGCAGATAGGGGGTTAAAAATGATGATGTGTTCTTTTCATCAACAAACACACACACACATGCCAGTAGCAATGGTGTATCTCTAAGCAACTCCGCTACACCAAACATCATACTTCATCCCCCCCTGCCCCTCTCATCCCCTCCTCCACCTTCATGCACGTGCAACATAATGGTCCACCCCTCCCGCACTCTCGAAAAGGTACCCCCCTCCTTCGCTCTCGAACAGGTGCCTCCCTCCCCTCCACTCACACGCCCATGGAGAACACACCCATGCGCCACACCTTCACGCTAGTCACATTCACCCCAAACTTCGTGCTCGCATTCGGTGTGCATTCGGTGTGCATTCGGGTGTGCATTCGGTGTGCATTCGGTGTGCATTCGGTGTGCATTCGGTGTGCATTCGGTGTGCATTCGGTGTGCATTCGGTGTGCATTCGGTGTGCATTCGGTGTGCATTCGGTGTGCATTCGGTGTGCATTCGGTGTGCATTCGGTGTGCATTCGGTGTGCATTCGGTGTGCATTCGGTGTGCATTCGGTGTGCATTCGGTGTGCATTCGGTGTGCATTCGGTGTGCATTCGGTGTGCATTCGGTGTGCATTCGGTGTGCATTCGGTGTGCATTCGGTGTGCATTCGGTGTGCATTCGGTGTGCATTCGGTGTGCATTCGGTGTGCATTCGGTGTGCATTCGGTGTGCATTCGGTGTGCATTCGGTGTGCATTCGGTGTGCATTCGGTGTGCATTCAGTGTGATCACATGCAGTCTAAGTGGGTCTGGCCGGCACTCATGTTTGTTGCAGCCCCCTCCAGCTCCTGCTGGTACCTGCCTGTGCCACACACCCCCCTCCCGTGCAACACACACCCCTCCCATGCCACACATACCTCCTCAATATTGATCGAGAGTTCCTCAAAGTCATCCGCAGCAAATTCCTCGTATATCTTTGGCGGGATGGGGCAGGCTTGAAGTAGAGCATTCAAGTGCTCCTCACCGTCCCTTCTTCGGTAGTCTGCAAGATGAGGGAGGGAGGAACATAGTAGAAAGAGAGGAGAAAGAACTCGTGACTCTATGCCACTCCTCTTCCCATACCACCCCACTCAACACCCCCTACCCCCTTCCACATGCCCCACTCCCAACCCCTTGCCACTTCCTTCCCCATGCCAAACACTACCCCAAGCCACCCCCCCCTACCCTCCCTCCCCTTCCCATGCCACCCCTCTCCCCATGCCACCCCGTTCACCACTCCCCTCCCCCTAAGACATACGTGTAAGAGCCATTAGAGGGCCTTCAGGCTCTCGATGTTCGACCGACTTTCCAGTATCTGATCCCAATGGTCGACAATCCATAAACGAACATTCTCCCAGTCGATCGCTGTAAATAGAGTAGACACGGAGGGATTTAAAAAAACGGCTGAAACTATGAAATAGGTATTTTCTTAGAAGCCATCAACGGTCCATAGCTAGAGAAAGGGTTGAAAACATAAATGCAAAAGGGGAGGGGGCATGGAGCACCGTGTCAAAGGGAGGGGAGGGGAGGGGGTGCGGGGGAAGGGGGTATGCGGGGGGGGGGAGTGTGGCCTCGGCTCGCCGTGCCAAAGGGCAGGGGGGGCTGTACGCACGGTGCACGGTGCCAAAGTGACAGATGGGGCTGAGGGAAAGTGAGCCGTGGGAAAACGACAAAGGGGGCTGAGGGCACAGTGAGCTGTGAAAAAATGGCAGGGAGGCTGAGAGCAACTGCGCATTCACCACCTGTGTTGGCACTGCTGGTGCTGCTGCGGTTGGCACTGCAAGTGCTGCTGCGGTTGGCACTACTGCTGAGTTCAAGAAGGAAAGAAGGAAAGCAGGGGGGAAGGAAAGCAGCTCCCCCAGAGTTCAAACGTCTATGCCTTACCATTGCTGGGTTGGGAAGAACCCAAAAAAACAAACAAAAGTGTCAGCCATCTGTTACTGACCAGCAGGTGAGGTCTGATCAGTGGCGACAGAGTCGCCCTGACTGAGCAGGTGCAGGCTGGACGCGTCCGTCCCGTCCCTCCAACCAATCTCGTCATCTGCTGGAAGGCTGTTCCAGAGGGCGTCGGTGGCGCCCTCCTTCACTGCCTCGTACACCGACTGGAAGAGCTGCGGCAGCACCGCCCTCTCCAACACCTGACAGGTATAAGCGTTCAGGGATGGTGAAGATGAGGAAAACAGGGGTGGTGAGTGTCTCCAGAGGTCGTTGTTTGCCCCCTCCTTCACTGCCTGCGTTTGTGGCAGGTGCGTGCATGGCAGGACATGCGCACGTGGCAGGTGCGTGCATGGCAGGACATGCGCACGTGGCAGGTGCGTGCATGGCAGTTCGTGCATACATGGCAGGTGCATGGCAGTTCGTGTGTACGTGGCACGTGCGTGCATGGCAGTTCGTGCGTACGTGGCAGGTGCGTGCATGGCAGTTCGTGCATACATGGCAGGTGCGTGCATGGCAGTTCGTGCGTACGTGGCAGGTGCGTGCATAGCAGGTACGTTTCAGTACATTCATAAACGATTTTGGTTAGCACGCACCTCTGCCACCTCCTCGTTGCTGGGCCAGATGTCTCTCAGGAACACCTCATTGCCGTCCTTGTCCGATCCGATGCTCTCTTCTTCAAAGTTAATGTCCACCTGATAAATTATTGGATGACGGTGTGAGTGCGTGACAACAAAGGCGGGCGATACAAGAGAAATGATGTTTTAATCTGACATTAAGATCACAACTAGATACAGTTTTTATCATAAATCAAACAAGTGCAGGCCAACAAACTGAACACCCACCGTGCCAGCGAGCGCATATGCCACGACGAGGGGCGGCGACGCAAGGTAGTTAGCTCGAAAGAGAGGATGCACGTGCCCCTCAGAGGTACGGCTACAAGACCGCACTGTTGCTGCCACCAGACCTGTTGAGGAAGTGGGGGCGAGGGAGAGGGGAGCGGGGTAAGGGAGATGGGGAATGGGGATGCATGGTATTTGGCTCGGCTGAAATGAAGGAGATAAGAGACTATTGGCTGTGTCAAGACAAAGAACCAAATTTGCTACTGTTACAGGGTATGCTACTGCAACGTACCGTTGTCAGAAACGGCCTCCATAACAGACTCTGAAATCTTAGCTGAGCTTCCAATGCACGTGGTGCAGTCATGCCCCACCACGTGGAAGCCCTGACCCTCCAGAGCTGGCAGGAGACCACTGCACACATGGTGGGAAAAGAGGGGCATATAAAGATGGAGAGGAGGAAGGAAAGAGACTGAAACCTATGCCCTAGAGAGCCAGGAGGACACCACTGCAAAACAATTGCAAAGTAAGGGAGGTAGTACAAGAAACTGAACTATCCATGCCCAGCCCTCCCTCACCTGGCCCCAAGGTACTTGGTGGCGACGTTGCACCCAGGGAGGGGGCAGGCTCGTCTTCACATACGGCTTCCCCTAGAGCCCCCTCCCACTCACCTTCACTGCCACGACGGCTGCTGCCTGCCAGCATCACTGACGGACTGCACTAGCACCACCACCTCTTCCCCACCCCCACCTTGAGGAGTCTCACGTTCCCCTGCATCCCTCACGAAACCCCTTCCTAAATCGTTCACTCAAATCCTTCAACTGTAGTGCACCTGAGAAAACCCTACCGTATGAGCCGCCCTGAACCCCAAACTCCTCTCACCTGGCCTCAAGGTACTTGGTCACCACGTTGGAGGCAGGGGCGAGGCTCGTCTTCACGTAGGGCTTCACCTGTAGCCCCCTCTCACTCGCCTTCTTCGCCACCAGGGCTGCTGTCAACATTTCCGCCGGGTTGAGCGCGCTGGTGCAGGAGGTGATGGTGGCGATGACCACGAATCCGTGCTTCAGCTGGATTTGCACCCCTTCCTCAAGAGTCACCGTTACACTCTTTCCTTGCTGGTCCGGGAGGATGCCGAAGCCCTGTGGAAGGGAGACCGAGAGAGGGGATCGGGTGGTAGAGACAAAACAATACAGTGAGCCACTGGCAGAGAGGTTGAGGCATGAGAGAAGGGGTTGGATTGGTTGGTGCGGAGGCGATGGCAGCAATGACAACGGAACCATGCTTCAGTTCGGATTCCAATCCTTCCTTTAATATCACCTTCACACTCTTACCCTGCTCGGCCTTGTTGTCGAGGCTATGCAAGCACACCAGTCAGAGTGTACGAGGCAGGGAGCCTTCAAAACATGCTATTATCACACAAAAGACTTGCCTTTGAACGGCGGTGTTGCTGAGGCATTCATCCCAGCCCGACTTCATGGTCTTGAGGTTGACAAATCTGTGCGGCCTGCAAAGAAGTAAGCAAGGCAGGCAACCGAACAAGACCATTGAGAAGAGGATGAGAGAAGGACGGAGGAAAGGGAATTTGGGGGCTGTGGGGAAGGGGAAAACTTGAGAAGGAAAGCAGCTGTAGGAGGAACAGAGATGTAGAGTAACAACGGCATGGGGAATATTATTGCCCATCTGCAACCGGAGAACCATGGCTTACCAGTAGGGTCTGCAGGCGTCGGGCCCAGAGATGCGTGGCCCGCAGACGCAGGGCTCCACAGTCGCAAGGTCCAGCTGGAGGTAGTTGGAATACTTGGGCTTGGCCTCCGCCTCTCCAGCCTGGGGGTGAAACGGACGACAAGGCAAGGATAGAAGGGATCATACGGATGAGATTCAGATGCAGGGCCCTACAATAGCAAGGTACAGCGCAGGAAACGAGAAGCACTTGCACGTGGCACATGCACCCGTGTGCATTTAGTCAAGCCAAAACACACCACATTCGTTACCATGCGCAAGCCAATGGCATGATCTATGAATAGGTGGTAGCACACCAGGTAACATCAACTCACCGTGGCGTGATCCATGAAGAGGTGGTTGGCGCGCATGTAAGCCTTAACCTGCTCCACCTTCGCCTCATCGCGCCCTGTGTCCCTCAGGTACTGCAGCGTCACCGAGTCAACCGGGAAGAACCCCATGGTCGCCCCAAACTCCGACAGCAGGTTCGCCACTGTCGCCCGGTCCGCCACTGACAGCTCCCGCATCCCCTCGCCATAAAACTCCACGAACGAATTCAGCATGCTGGGTTTCATGCACGTCATAGCCACATCCGTGGCCGTGGCTCCCGCTCGGAGCCTTCTCGTGAGGTTGACGCCCACGACTTGGGGGAGGTCCATGCGTATGGGCTCCCCGCGCATGGCACCTTTGGCTCTAGACCAGCTCTCGCCCCAGCCGAGGATGCCGAGACCATGGGTCAAGGTGGAGTGGGAGTCGGTGCTGACGACGCTGTCAGGGTAGAGCAGCCCGTCGACCTCCATCACCACCTGCGCCAGGTACTCCTGATTCACCTGCAGTTGGGACATCACAATGAAACAACACAGTTGCCTCAAGAGTCAATGCCGACGACGCTGTCAGGGTATAGCGGCCCCTTGACCTCCAGTATAACGCAAGAACAGTTATCACAAGTCAGTATATCGTGGCATTTTTCTGTTGCACGGGAGTTGATAGTTGTAATGCGCCCCAAAAGTAGGCCGCAACGCAGAGACCCTCAGGCACTAGCAAAAAACTGACCTGGTGCACGATGCCAGCGCCAGGGGGGACCACAACAATCTGTCTGGTGACTGTCGAGGTTGAATCAAGGAGAGCGAGCCGCTCAATGTTGCGCTCGATCGCGCGCTCCATGCTGAGGCCCACCGGGTGTTTGATCACCAGATCCATCGGCACCTGTGGGAAGGAGGGGGGGAAGAGGAGGGGGAGGAGAGGAAGGGACGGGGGTAAGGGACAGAACCGGCTCTGAGTCACTTCAGAAAGGCTCAGCACGTTGGACGTTCGGCGTAGTCCTCTGCACCGAATGGTCAATTACCAAATCTACCGGCAGCTGGGGGAAGGAGGGGAGGGGGAGGAAGGGGGAGGAGAGGACGGAAAGGGGTGGAAGAGACAGAACCGATTTTGAGGCGCATCAGAAGGCTCCGCGCGTTGAGCACACTTGCATCGTCCACGTGCACCAAGTGGTCGATCCACATGCAGCGGGTTGGGGGCGAAAGGGGTCAGCAAATGACATCTGCTCTGAGCATCAGAAGGACTTTGTTGCAGCAGGACATTTGACTCAGAGCAGTATAACCGCGATTCGAACAAGAAAGAAACATGAATTGTACGTGAGTAAATGCATGGAGAACAGCATGAGGCGTGCGCAGTTTTAAAATGCACCTGAGGGTCGATGGTAAGAAGATTGCAGCCGGCCTTCCTCAACGCGTCCTGTGTCGCAACGAGGTCCACACCAGCAGGAACGCGAGTGAAGTCCTGATCAATCAATACAAGGACATAATATGTTATTCACATGTATGACATGGTTCACTTATGGAAGGGGGGGCGGGCATGAGAGGTCAGCATGTGGTTAGGCTTGAGAGCACCTCCTGTGGATGCCTGGGGGGTCGGGAGAGAGGGGAGCATAAGCGGGGCAGCGGGAAGCACGGGAAACAGGGCAGCATGGTGTAAGGAGAGTGGAAAAGTGCCATGCGCTCGCAACCAGCGATGCCGTGTGCCGCATCACGCCCCCCTCCCTTACGCGACGCTACGTCGCTCTTTGCGCCTGATGCGATCCTACGCCGTCACGGCCCCCCTCCCCTTGCGCTAAAGTTCCAGCGCCCCTCCCCCCTTCCTAAGGTCAATTCCGCCTGTCACGGCCCTCCCCTCTCTCCCACGAATGAGCCCACAGTCGGGACGGCCAGCGCGACCGTCGGAACGGCCACGTTGACGGGCGTGACCTAAATCGCGGACGGGCGCCACTGCCACGACGAACGCGGGCGCTCGTCGTGACCGAATCCGCCGCCGCCACTGCATTCCGCCGACGCGGAACAATCCGCCGCCCACGCGACCTGCTTTCGTCGCCTCTTGCCACAGCTCCTACCACTTTCACCACCACAGCCTTACATAGCCGCCGCGGTCTCATGTCGCGGCCTCACACCCTTGCGACGTACCATCGTCACTGCCGCTCTCAACTCTGCGGCCACGACTACTAGCCGCCGCCAACTCACCCCTCACTCCCACCGCCCCCTCCTCTCCCCGCTCTCCTCCTTAAGCCCTCCAGCCCTCCTCTCCCCCTCGCTTCCGCATCTCCCCTCGCTTCCTCCTCTTCAGAGCACTTCAGCCCTGCTCCCCACTCGCTTCTTCCTCCCCACTCACCCCTTAGCTTGCTTGCCTCCTCACCTGCAGCACCCCTTAGCTTGCTTGCCTCCTCACCTGCAGCACCCCTTAGCTTGCTTGCCTCCTCACCTGCAGCACCCCTTAGCTTGCTTGCCTCCTCACCTGCAGCACCCCTTAGCTTGCTTGCCTCCTCACCTGCAGCACCCCTTAGCTTGCTTGCCTCCTCACCTGCAGCACCCCTTAGCTTGCTTGCCTCCTCACCTGCAGCAGCCCCCGCTCCCGGCTCGCATGCAACCTCACCTTACGGAGAAATGCGGCTACGAACCTGCAGGATGACTCGAGCTGGCTTGAAGAGGATCTTCTCTTGGTGCAGGGAATTTTCAGCCCAATTCAGGATCTTGTCCACGTCCGCCTTCGTGACATGGTCATTGTCGCAGTTGCGAACGGCGGACTCCAGCATGTACTTGACAAGAAATGGCAGTTCATCTGCAGGATAGGAGGTAATTACTTAAAACGAGCTAATGGAAAGATATTCAACTGGAATTTGAAAACAAAGAATCAACGAGGTACCGATGCGAGAATCTTCGAGTTGGGGGAGGCTGTAATATGAGCCAAACGAGCCGCCTTTGGGGTTTGGCAACTCTTTTAGCACGTGCTCGAACAGATTCGTCATGGTTCTGCAGAAAAAAACAAATCAGGAAAGTGCCAATCAGTAAGGAAGGAGCGAGCAGGAAGAGATCCAAACGACGCAACTATTATCACGGTTATTCGTCATAATTCTGCAATGTGTGCTTGCTGCTGGCTAAAATTATCTCTCATCATGCAACGGATGATCTAGCAGGAAGCTTCATGAGTTATCTAAGATGGCGCTCACCTGTGGCGCGATGGATCATAGACGGAGCAGCACCGAAATCCACGTGCTGAGCCTCAACAGTAGTTCCCTGGTTGAGGATGCAAGCGGTCTCTACTGGAAGTACATCTAAGTGAAAATCTATGGCAAGGTAGTCTCCTAGTGAAATTCATGTAGGTCTGGATCTGGATACCAGTGGTGCAACACACCGAATAGCGTCGTGCAGGTAGATCTGAGTCACGATGCGTGATTACTAGTCTCCAAAAGGTTAGTGTGCTCTGGTGTGGCGTGGCAATAGGAGGGAAAATGTGTTGGGTGTTGGAGTGATCTGCCGTGCAAGCTTGCTTGCGTGATACCGTACAAACTCCAAGAGAGGTCGTCATCGTGGCGAATCCAGAGAGCTAATCAAAAGATCGAGGCTCGCTGCCGCGTTAGCAGACTAATTCCGAGGAAGCTTTGTGGCAGCGTGATAAAAGTGAGTGGGGTAGCGTGTATAGTTCGGTTGCTCCGTTTCGCCAATGAAAACAGAACTTCACAAAAGTTCACTTTCGAGTTAGTCGGAGCGGTACGGTAATTTTCTGTGCAATCCGAAGCGGTTATTTTGCTTCACCCCCCAAAATTGTGAACTCGTATTTTTTTCGTGACTCAACCAACTAGATTTGGATTCAATCTGTTCAGTTCGATCCCCACCATTTCTATTTCAGCGTCGTCTCGCGAAGTCACGGACGAGGCGCGGGCGATGAACTGACGGACGAGGCACCTCCCCGCTCGTGCCTCGTCCGTGCCGGCGGAGGTGCGCGCGTCGTTCAAGGCGCCTCAAAAGGCGGCGACGTTGTTTGGAGGCGCGCTCTCCGCCGCCACGGACGAGGCGCGGGCGGGATGCACGCGTGCTGCCTGATTCATCCGCGCGGAGGCGCGCGGGGAGGTGAATGTTCAGCACAAGGAAAGCAAGACAGTTGCGATTATAATTTACTGTACAACGCGGAGGAGCGCGCGGAGGAGCGCGCGGCGCTGCCCTTCGCCGCGAACGACGCGCGGTCGAGGTGAGGTGCGCGGACGAGGGGGGTGCGGGAGGAGAGGGCGCTGTGGGGATGGGGGAGGTGGTGGCGGGAGGGCGCAGTGGGGAGAAGGGGAGGTGGGGAGGGGAGGGCGCAGTGGGGAGGGGGGAAGGTCGGGGAGCGGAGGGCGCAGTGTGGACGGAGTACGGTGGGGAGGGGAAGGTGCAGTGGGGAAGGGGGAAGGTCGCGGCGCTGCCCGTTGCCGCGTCAGACGTGGGTGCATGTTTGCCCTCGCTCCCACACCTCTCCGCTTTTCCGCTTCTCGCCCCCACATCACTCCCTCTTCTCCTTCCCGCGAACCCCTCCCCACCGCTCCGTCACCTTCCCCCCGTCCTCTCCACCACACCTCTCTGCCCGCCTCTCTCGTGCCCACTTCCCCAAGCCCGCCTCCCCCTCTATCTGTCCTACCCGCCGCCCTTCACCTCCCTCTCCCCCACTGCCCAACCCCTTCTGGGCCTGGCCATAATGGCAGCAGCTGCCGCGCGCACCTCGGGGAGAGAGAGGGGCCAAGCTGAGGTGCTGTGCGGAGATAGAAGCACAACGGGCAGCACTGCCAGTGGTGGCGGGGGAGGGTGACGGGGTGGAGGCCGCGGGGAGCAGCAGTGCTGTGTGCGGCGAGACGGGGTCGGGGAAACCAATCAGTATCAAAGAAGTTCCGCAGGTGCTGTGGTGTGGGGGAAAGGGCAGGTGCTGTGGTGTGGGGGAAAGGGCAGGTGCGTGTGGTGTGGGGGAAAGGGCAGGTGCTGTGGTGTGGGGGAAAGGGCAGGTGCTGTGGTGTGGGGAAAAGGGCAGGTGCGTGTGGTATGGGGGAAAGGGCAGGTGCTGTGGTGTGGGGGAAAGGGCAGGTGCTGTGGTGTGGGGGAAAGGGCAGGTGCTGTGGTGTGGGGGAAAGGGCAGGTGCTGTGGTGTGGGGGAAAGGGCAGGTGCTGTGGTGTGGGGGAAAGGGCAGGTGCGTGTGGTGTGGGGGAAAGGGCAGGTGCGTGTGGTGTGGGGGAAAGGGCAGGTGCGCGTGGTGTGGGGGAAAGGGCAGGTGCGCGTGGTTTGGGTGAAAGGGCAGGTGCGCGTGGTGTGGGGGAAAGGGCAGGTTCGAGCGGTGTGGGGGAAAGGGCAGGTGCGCGTGGTGTGGGGGAAAGGGCAGGTGCGTGTGGTGTGGGGGAAAGGGCAGGTGCGCGTGGTGTGGGGGAAAGGGCAGGTGCGTGTGGTGTGGGGGAAAGGGCAGGTGCGTGTGGTGTGGGGGAAAGGGCAGGTGCGCGTGGTGTGGGGAAGGGCCAGGTGAGTGCGGTGGGGTGGGGGAGGTACATGGAGGCCGGCCCTGCCAGCCTTGTGTGCGGTGAGACGGGGTCGGGCAAGACCATGCAAGTGCCACTGAGACACTTGACATGGTGTTACCGTATCATCATGTCATGAGATTCTAAACATGCAGATTTACATGCGTTGAACTGTAATTCATGCAATTCATCATGCCATGTTTCGTCCATGCATCCATCAAGCATCATGTGCTGCAGCTCACAGCAATTGTTTCACATGATATACATGAGCAGTTAGCGTATGCTTTTATGTCATTCTCATTCATTTTAGCATGACTGAATATGACATCCAACGCTTCGCCCCTTCCCTCCTCCCCTTCTTCCCCCCCCCCCCTCCCCCCCCCCTTTTCCCCCCCAATT